GTAGGTGGCCACAAGGTGGACTGGGACAATAACCGTCAGCATCCAGGGTTCCCGCAGGAGAAAGGAAAGTGTGGGGGACTTTCTTCTCCCCAATGGGACAGTTTCACTTCTCTCCTCTCCTCTCCACCTGAATTGAGGCCAGAGCTCTGGGGGTGGGTGGGGGCTCCCCAGGGGGCTGCTGGATACATACTAGGCATCCTCAGGTTGTCTAAGGCTTGTGAAGGACATGAAAGCCACCATCAAGCCGGGGTGGTGGTGGTGGCGGCGGCGGCGCACGCCTTTAATCCCAGCACTTGGGAGGCAGAGGCAGGCGGATTTCTGAGTTCGAGGCTAGCCTAGTCTACAGGGTGAGTTCCAGGACAGCCAGGGCTACACAGAGAAACCCTGTCTCGAAAAACCAAAAAAAAAAAAAAAAAAAAAAAGAAAAAAAAAAGTAAAAGAAAAAGAAAGTCACCATCAGATAGTGTGGCTAGCCTGGGCCTTCTGGGAGATGGAGACCCGGGAGACCTATAGGGGGCGTTGGTGGGGCTCTTGCTCCCAAAGGTAGATAGCCAATAGCCTGTCCTGAGGTCACTCGTACAGCTCCTGAGCTAGCTCTGCAGTCCAGCTCTGGCTGTACCTAACCCCATACATAGGTCTCAGATCCACAACACCCCCAACCCTGGCCAACCTAGTGGGGTCAGCCTCGAGTTGGACCCAGAAATTCCAGGTCCCATTGCCAAGAGCAGCACGGGCCAGCTGGGTGGCCAAGTGAAGTCACTTCCTCTCTTTGGGCTTCATCATGCTGCCAGGTGCAAGGGGTCCTCGACAGACTGTCTCTCGGGGATCCCTACCCTAGAGTATGATATTGATGTTGATTCTCAAATTACATCTTAGCTGTGTGGGAGGGAGTGCTGGGATTGATTGGTGATGTCTGCCACAGGTGCAAATTTGGTACTAGTGGTACGCATGTTATTTATTTGATATCTGTTCCTGAACTTGTTTGGGAGTTTGGGGGTAACATCTGGAGTTGGAGGCCTTGCTTTTAAGATGGAGACTTGGGAGACCTATAGGGGGCGTTGGTGAGGTTCTTGTTCCCAAGGTGGATAGCCAATGGCCTGTCATGAGGTCACTTGTACATCTTGCTTTTAACCAAGAGACCCCAAAGCTAGAGAGCTACTTTCTTATCTGGTCAGCCTGTTTTGCTATCCTCAGTCCTGGGGTCATAGGGTTGGGCGGTTCCCAGAGCTAGGAATCTGGCAGACAAGATAAGAGTAGAATCACACAACCAGAAAACAAGGTGGAAAAAGCCCAGATCCTCAATGAGAGACGAGTTCTGTCCCTCGTGGATAAAAAAGATAAAGAGGAGGCCGTGCTCAAAGGACAGATGTGGAAGCTGATGTGGACACTGTGGTTGAGGTGCTCAGACAAGAAGAAGGAGGAGGAGAGGGAGGGGAGAGGGAGGGGAGGGGGAGGAGGAGGAGGAGGAAGAGGAGGAGAAGGAGAAGAGGAAGCGGCGGCAGAATGGTGTAGGGGACAGCAAGTGGTAGAGTCTCCCTGCATTCTGCCTAGGTGCAATGCCCTCCAGCCAGAACAGGCACAAGCATTGTCTCTGCTCTCCTGGTGGGAGAAGTGACCAAGGGGGCCTCCTTTCTTCTCAGGCTAGAGAGGGAGATGAGTTTCCCCACCCCTCAGCTGGAGCATCTCCTCTCAGCCTCTGCGTTAAGGAGGAGAACCTGGTTCAGTGTAGGTTTTCTGAAGATTTGCTGTGGACCCTGCCCTGAGAGGGATTAGCAGCATTGCTGGGGACTCCTTCCTTCAAGAGTGTTGGGGGCGTGGGGGACTCTGCTCTCCAGGAGGTCCCCTGAGCCCTGTCATCTCCCGCATGGACGCCATGGACGCAGCCTAGAAGCTGCAGGTGTTCCCTGAGCACCTGCTTTGTGGCTTCCTTAAGACACAGGTCAGAGAAGAGTCAGGGATAGGGCGCTTAGAGCAACCCAGCACCCACCCGGCCATTGCCCTTGTTTGCCCTTGCTGCAGGCATGCAGAGCGTCTGCTACACACTCCTCTCTGTCCAGTGTCATCCCGAGAGACCTAGTTGGGGATGTAGTGGAGAAGGCACAGAAGTGCAAAGGCAGAAGAGAGACTGGGCCTCCACCTTAAAAAACCGTTGAGTATGAAGGAGGCCGGAGAGGTAGGAGGGGAGGCCAGAGAAAGGCCAGATGGCACAGGCTCTGGCTATGTGTGAAGACTACCTTATGTCCATGCTCATGCTGAGAAAACAGTAAGATTAAGAAAGACAGGCTGTCTAGGAAGGCAGTGTTGAACCTGAGACCTTTGTGAGGGAGGGTGCTAGTTAAACATCTCAGGAAGAGCCACCTAGGGAAGGGTTAGCTGGTGCAAAGGTCCTGGGGTAGGAACAAGCCTGATACTTATGAGGAGATCACAGCTGGCATGGAGCGTGGGAGAGTACATACACAGGAAGTGAGGTTCAGAGCACAGCAGAGGCTTGATCAGATGGCCAGCCGCAACAGGATGGAGAATCGAGAACACAGGGCAGCTGACCAGGGCTGGGAATGGTGGTTAGGCTAAGGTCTGCCCCCCCAAGAAGCTTGTCCTCAGACCATCTACCAAGCGAGGACTCAAGAAGGCAGGGCAGGAGTGAAGTGAAGGCTACCCTGCCCCCCTTTCTGGAGGTTCTAGGTGACAGTGCTTGACCAGGGAGATCTCAATGCCTGAGAGGAAGCAGTGTCTTCCCACATCAAAAGGGCCACCCCCCAAGGCTCCCACGCTCGGCAGTATGGGAACTGTGTTACAGAAGGTTCTCGCAGGTAGCTTGCAGACTGCAAGAGGGTGTGTGCCACCTCGGGACTGTCCCCCACAACACAGAGACGCTGCGCCATCAGGCCCCATCACAACCCTCCTCCCAGTAGCCAAGCTAATTCTTATACCTTCAGCCTCTTTGGGAAAGAAAAAAGTTTTTGAAGCTTTTCATGACACATGAGTGTGGCCAAGATCTCAAGCATCCCTTTTCCTGGGGTTTCCCTGCCCATCTCCCAGGGACAGACTCAGCAAGATGGGGAATCGTTTGGACCAGATTTTGAGCATCATGTATCTAAGATATCACTCTGACAATCCTGATTGATAGAGGCTGACTAGAGAGCTGTGTTATGGATTCTTTGGACTTCAGAGAGCCGGGGTGGATTAGTCATGCCTGCACTGGTAGGAGGCAAGTAGGTAGTGGTGTGTATGCTAAATGTTTTCCTCCCTGCCCATATTACGCACTGTCCTGACTAAGAGAAGGGGAGTTCTCATGAGTCACTGAGAAAAGGGAAGTGGGAAGGCAGAGATGAGGTCAGGTATGTCCGCACAGTTATCATAGACAGGTGGGAAGGAAGGCTGGGAACTGTGACCCCCTCGCTGCTGCCCCATAAGGATGAACAGTAATAAATCAGGGTGGTGCTGTCCTGCAGGAAAGTCTTGGAAGGCTGTGATAGAGCCCGAGGCAGGTCACATGCCTGCTCAGCCTTTCCCATTGTGAGTCCCGTCACACTGCAGAAGGTGAAGCTCCTGAGTTCTCACAAGACTTCTTTTTCAAGGAAGGGAAACTGAGGCCCAGTGTCTTTATCCTATATCCACTGACCATAGACCCCAGGACTCAGAGACCCACCCATCCTCCCTTTTCCCTCTCTCTTTTCCCTCCTCCCTCCTCTTTCCTCCCTTTCCCTCCTCCTATGGGAGCAATGCTTAGTGACTTTAGGTTGTCCCTGCCACTCCTCCAAGGATGGGCCTAGATGGTGATGGTATTGATGATGGTGACAGTGATGATGAGGGAAGGTGATGATGGTGATGGTGGTGATGATGATGGTGGTGGTGATGGCAGCAACGGAGGCAACTGTAAGTGGTGCTAGTGGTCTTGGTGACGATGACCGTACTGGCGATAGTAATGAGGACAGTGCTTTCAGGGCCTTTCTTAGCTACCAGGAATTTGTGTTCTTCTCCACAAACAAAAAGCAGGCACCCCATCACGCCCGTCCCACAGGTAGAGAAATTGGTTTGTAAAGGCTGATGGGTTGTGCTGCGTGTCACCAACTAATTAGCGGCCAAACTAAGAAACAAAAGCAACTGTGGTTGACCCCAAAAGACAAAAGGATACCTTTTTCCAGGGGCTCTTCATATGAAGAGGGGACCTGGTGTTGGTCTTATGGTCCGAGTCTTTATGTGCTCAGATAGGTTGAGAACCTTGGAAGGGCAGCACAGTATTTCCCAGCTTATGCATTCCTGAAGTCTTTCCAGAGTGTTCTGCAGGAATCGGTGCTCTATAGAACAAACCTTAAGAGAGCTGACTCACTGATAGTTGGGTTCCGGGCCAGACAAGGGGAGGGAAATGAGGCCCAAATGTTCTCTGGTGGGAGGAGGCAGTCTGGAGTTATGACCGGGAATGTTGCTCATATGGTAGAGTGCTTGCCTCATCGTGAAGTCCTGGGTTCAATCCCCAGCACCACATACTACATTATAGTGGGTGATATTTAAATCTCCAATCCAAATATGACCGGTCAATGAAAACACAACTCAGTAATTATGAATATATTCTGTAAGCCTAGATTGGGCAGATACCCCTACACTACTCTGTTCCACAGCTATTTGGGTTGGAGATTTACACCCGATACACTTCGGAGTATGGCGGAACACACTTGCTCAGCACACGGAAGGTGAAGGCAGGAGGATTAGAAGTTCAAGGTCATCCTTGGTCAGAGCACGAGTTCAAGGCCAGCCTAGGCTACATGAGAACATCCCTAAAAACAAGAGTCAGAAGTAGACCTAAGGGTGTTTTCAATAGAGTCCCACTGACTGTACCCATTGCCGATATGCGCTCAAGATGGGACGGGGGTTTCTTGGCGGTTCATCCAGATGGCGGAGAGGCAGAGGAGACAGGGTGTGTCAGGAGGGGCCCTGAAGTAAAAGCAAGCCAGGGCTGTATTGGTGCCAGTCCATCCGGAGCCTCTTCTGATCCCCCACAGGGTTCCGGCGCTCCCCGTGAAGAACTTGAATGGCACTGGGCCTGTGCACCCAGCCCTGGCAGGTAAGCCGTAACCCATGAGGCCCCGCCCACCAGCCTCATGAGCTCCGCCCCTTTGATGAACTGGTGGGCGAGCCTTCCCTTTGGATTTGCTTGACTTTAGCCTGAAGTGGGTTTTTTGGGTGGGGAAACATCCTGCCCTCCACTCTCTATGGCATCCACCTTCCCCGTCAACCTAAAGATGAGGGGAGGGCGTGGCTTTTCGTGACTCCACCCCTCATTACTACACCCTTCCCTCCCCAAACCCCAGGGATGACCGGGATCCTGCTGTGTGCAGCCGGTCTGCCAGTGTGTCTGACACGAGCGCCCAAACCCATTCTGCACCCGCCGCCGGTAAGCAAGAGCGACGTGAAGCCTGTGCCTGGCGTGCCCGGCGTGTGCCGCAAGACCAAGAAAAAACACCTCAAGAAAAGTAGGTTCCGTATGATACCCCCCCAAAACACAACCGCAGTGCTCTTAGGACCCAGCATGCACCTCACTTATGCTTGCCCTCAGCTCACCCTTCGCGTCCTCCTTCCTGCCACTCCCCCACCTGCTCCCCGGAGCCCCGCCCCTACTCCTCCTGAGACACGTTGTCCCATGATCTCTCTGCAGGCAAGAATCCCGAGGATGTGGTCCGGAGGTACATGCAGAAGGTGAAAAACCCACCTGATGAGGTGAGCCAGCCAGGCCCAGTTCTCTTCCTGTCCATTCTGGCCTCACTGTCTTCACTAAGCCCTGGGGGTGGAGCTTAAAGTTTAAGAGCGTCACACCCGTCCATCTTTGTGATGGACGGTTTGATGCCAAGTTTTCCATTGCGGCGTTTGCTTTGGGTGGTTAAGCATTTGACCCCTGCTCAGGGGCTAATCAGGCGAGGGAGTCAACTCCAAGGTTTTCCATCGCCCCCAAACTTTGTGTCCCTCTATGGCCTTCCTCATGGCCCTCCTCCATCTCCCTGGCCCTCCAGGACTGTACCATCTGCATGGAGCGGCTGGTCACAGCATCCGGCTATGAGGGCGTGCTCCGGAACAAGAGTGTGCGGCCCGAGCTTGTGGGCCGCCTGGGTCGCTGCGGACACATGTACCACCTGCTCTGCCTGGTGGCCATGTACTCCAATGGCAACAAGGTGGGCCACAAGGTGGGCTGCCGTGCGGTGGGTGCGGTGAAGTGGGCAGTGGGTGGGGACCCGGTGGGACCCCCAGGGACCTCACAGCAGCACACCTGTCTCAGGATGGCAGTCTGCAGTGCCCCACCTGCAAAGCTATCTACGGGGAGAAGACAGGGACACAACCACCGGGGAAGATGGAGTTTCACCTCATCCCGCACTCGCTGCCTGGTTTCGCAGACACCCAGACGATCCGCATTGTCTATGACATCCCCACGGGCATCCAGGTGAGCCCCACGGGCCCCAGCCTCAACTCTGCCCCTCCCACCACCCCGGGACTCCCTCTGTGGTCTGAATCCCTCCTGCCATCCCTGCAGGGCCCTGAACATCCCAATCCAGGCAAGAAGTTCACCGCCAGAGGCTTCCCTCGCCACTGCTACCTACCCAACAATGAGAAGGGCCGGAAGGTGAGTGTCCACCTGGCTTCCACAATAAATGATGGTAGAGTCCCCAGCTGCCATCTTTCCTTTGTCCAGTCCCTACTGTCATTCCTTCTTAAGCCATCGCGCTAAACGGCAGGCCCTGAATCTGCTTCCTCTCATTCACTGGCTTAACAAAGGTTCAGAGAGGGCAAGGAACTTAATGCACAGTCACACAGCGACTAAGTGGCAGAGCCAGGATTTGAACCCAAGCAGCCCTTCAAACGCTTCATCCTCACACTCGGGTCGTCCAATTTTACTTACTGATTAACCAAGAAGCCAGCACCGTAGATCGTCCTGTGAAATCTCCAGATCTTTAATCGTGGGAACTAATTCACAAAGTGACGATTTAGTACAAAGAGTGGGGTTCTAAGCCCTGTCGGTACCGATGACAAGTCCCGAAAGAAACAGAACTTTGTGTAGTAATTGGTATTGGGTAGACTAGGGCTCAGACTGCCCATTATATTCACAACCATTCCCCCATCCCCAGGTGCTGAGATTGCTCATCACCGCCTGGGAACGCAGACTTATCTTCACTATCGGAACGTCCAACACCACGGGCGAGTCGGACACCGTGGTGTGGAACGAGATTCACCACAAGACGGAGTTTGGTTCCAACCTCACTGGCCACGGCTACCCCGACGCCAGCTACCTAGACAACGTGCTGGCTGAGCTCACCGCCCAGGGTGTTTCTGAGGCCATGGCCAAGGCCTGAGGCCTGAGTTGCCCCGCCTTCCCTCTTGCCTTGCCCCTAGCCCGGCACATGCCTCCCTCCACCAGGTGGGAGGAGCCAGAAGCGCTAAAGGGATCTGGCTGGTGGCTGTGGGGGGTGATGGGAGCGCCCCAGGCCAGCTGGCTCCAACCTGTGGCTTCCAGGCAAGAGCAGCAGAGATAGGACCACCAGCAAGGGCGACTTCCCTATGGAAACGATGGCGCTTTGCCCTTCACATCACACACAGACGCACACGTGTCCTGTTGCACGCACGCACTCACGCACGTACACCCACGTGCCTCTTGACTTCTCCCAGCTTGGGGAGAAAAGAGACAGAAAGGCCCCCATGACACATCCTGTGGATTCCGCCTGTGTCTCCATTACATCTGTATAGGCTCGTCCCCTTCCCAGGACTTGAGTCAAGCATGGGATAGTGGGGACTCTGTAAGGCTTCCAGGGACCAGTCTGCCCCTGGGCCTCAACCCATGTCAGCGCCGCCACCTACCCACTGAGCACTGCAAAGCCAATGGGGTAGAAATCCCAGGTTACCGAGTAGCTTTTCGCAGGCCACTGGGGACGAGGCTATCATATTTTGTGCTTGTGTCTACCTTTCCGGGACCCTGACTACTTCTTCCTGTGCCCATCTCTTGACCTCTGTCTATCCCAGGCAAAGGCATCGTCCTTGCCTCTGTACCGGCTTCTCCCCTACTAAACCACTCCGGACATTTGAGACCCAACTTCTCGCTTCAGGGGCGAAGGGAGGCCTTGTTCAGGCTACCCGTGTTGAGCTGACCAGGCAGCAAGGCGTTAACTTCTCCCTGCTTGGAAGTGGGCGGTGGGCGACTGATCTTCTCAGGCCAACCAGAGGCCCGTTGCCCAGGCAACTCACCAGCTCCGCCTCTGAGGATTGGCTGCTGGGATGGAAGTCAGCCAAGCTTTAAAGGGACGCCAGCAATTGCTCTTTTGAAAAAAAAAAAAAATCTACCAGTCCCACTGTGGGTGGAGAAATAAAAGGTCTTTCTCCTTGTCAGGCCTTTTTCTGCCAAGAGGGTGCTGGGTGACTGTGCTCCTGCAGAACACCGGGGATGGCTTGGAAGACAATGGCAAGCGTAGGATCACTGCCCGGGGCAGCGGGAAAAGCAGTACATGGGCCTTGTAATTGCCCAGTCTTGCAGCAGCAAGAGACGTAGTCAGGGTCCCCAAGTAGGCGCGCGCGCGCACACACACACACACACACACACACACTAGTGACAATGATGATGGATCTGCGTGCGGCCCTCCAGGGGGATGTGGAAGAGCTTTGAGATACTATATCAGCTCACCGATTCCACCCTGCCCTGGAGCAAGGAGCAGGAGACAGCAGCCTCTTCTCGGAGGCTCCCGCAGCTCAGATGTACCCAAGCCAGTGGGAGATGCTCCAGCTCCAGGCGACCCTTGCTGGTCATGCGCGGGATAGCGCCACACCTTTCCTGATTCTCTAGATCCACTCTGATGGACTTGAATTTTTTTTTTTTTTCTGTCCAGAGCTCTCTTTAGGCAAACTCAGAATTCACAGGCTCTTCCACCTCTGTGGAGCTGACTGTGGAGTTTGGTTCCAACCTCACTGGCCACAGCTACCCGGACGCCAGCTACCCAGACGACATACTGGCTCGCTCTCAAATCATACCTCAAACCCACAGAACCATTGAGCCCCAGAACTCTGATGCCTGCTCCCATCCCCCACCCCCCAAAAAACCCTCAGATGCATTCAGTGACTAGGACAGGGAGTGGGAACCTCTATTCCTAGCCAAGAAGCTTCTCACTGTCCCCTAGGGTACCCCGATTGTAACACTTCGCGGCTAAACATGCTCAGGTCACTTTATACAGGGTATTAGGGGGAGGAAGAGCCTGTGTCCAGCCTCGGAGCTCAGAACTGGCATGCTAGGCTCCCAGTCCGTTCTTCCGAGAACACCTGGTTCCAGACGCTTGAGGTTGGGGCTGCCAGATGAGAGTGGGGTACAGAAGAAGCTGTGAGGTCACAGCGATTCACAGAAGTGAAAAAAAAACAGGAAGTTCTTGGCCAAGCCTATTGAGTGCTTTTCTGAGTCAGCTAGGGTTTGGTTCAGGTACAGCTGTATCCAGCAGCTGGCAGGTAAGATAGACGCCACAGGTATTGGAAGAGCTGTATCCAGAGAAGCTGAGTCTCCAGGCTCAGAGAAGAAAATGAGGTTTGGTCAGTACAAGGCTGGGCCCTACCAAAGACTCCTATGCTCTGGTTAGCTACAGGGCACGTAAGACCAGGCTTTGTCTGGGAGACTCCAAGCAGTGAAGAAGGCAGCCTCAAGGAGACGCCTGGGCCAGCATGTGCTCAGGGAGGCCCCGTGGCTCTGTCCCCAACTGGCTCTGGCACCTTCTCAGCATCCAGCATCCTAGAGGGCCATTTGCCCCTATCCCCGTTTCTGGAACTCCTCATGGGCTTGCTCCAAGTCTTCAAGGACTTGCAGCAAACGGGTGATGGCTGCTCTCTGCTGGGCCAGAACCTCGGCACAGGGCCCTGGAGGGAAAGAAAAGGCCATGGGGTTCAGCAGCCTCCTGGTGGGCTGTCACCAGATCCCACTTCCTGAAGCTGTAGGTTTTTTTCCCCATGCAGAAAGAATCCCCAAATTCACCAGGAATCCCACTGATGAAGTGGAAGCCAGAGGGTATGCAGGAGGACAGAGCGGGTGTACTTGGCCAACTGGGGCACACATCTGTAGGGGAAGAGAATGGAACCCTTCCCCCTTACCATCCATGGCACTGGAGTCTTTCCCAAGGTCCACATCTGGAGCTGTGTCCAGGCTGGAGTCCTCCAGCAGTCTTAGCCTGAAGGTTGATAAGAAAAGAGATAAGGCTGGTTTCTGAGGCACGGTGCCGCTCCTACCCAAGATTCTCTGCTGCTTGTAGGAGAAATCAGGTTTGTTACCAACATCACCATGATCACAATCGCCACCACCACCATCATCACCATCACTGCCACCATTATCACAACCATCACCACTCAGTCACCATCAACCTTTCTAGAGGAGCAGACACTACACCGAGAAGCCTTGTACGCTCACATCCATTTACTTACACAGCCAGCTTACAGGAGGTAGGTACTTATCAGTAACCCTGTTCAGATCAACCACGGACACACAGAGAGACCAAGGAACTTGCGTAAGGCCACACAGCATACTAATGGCTCCTATGTATGGGAGGTTACATGGTGCCCTTTTCCGGGATCATCTTCTGTACTATGTACACCTCCTCCCATAAGGCCACACCTCCTCCACAAGGCCACACCTCCTCCCACAAGGCCACGCCTTCTCTCACAAGACCACTCCTCCACCCACAGTACTGTGAGGTCAGGATCCTATCACCTCCTTCCTTATCCATACGAGGCACAGAGAAGCCAAATGACTAGCTGAGAACCACACAGCCCCTAACAGGCCGGGATCTGAAGCCAGGCAGCTCAGTACAGAACCTTCTCCATAGTGAGATGGGATAAACCTGTCACTAAATAACAAAAGCTCTTCAGGTCAGGAAGTCGGGGATGGGGGAGGTGTCCAAGGTACCAGGAAGGCTCAGAAGCCAAGTTATAGAGACCAAGCATGTCTCCAGAGCCCCCATACTGTAAGTTCCCCTGCTCCTAGGGGTGGTCTGAATGACGCTTGAATGCTTGGTCCTCAGTTGGGGGACTGCTTGAGGAAGGATTAGGAAGTGTGGCCTTGTAGGAGGAGGTGTGGCCTTGTGGGAGGAGGTGTGGCCTTGTGGGAGGAAGTGTGGCCTTGTGGAAGAGGAGTGGCCTTGTGGGAGGAGGTGTGGCCTTGTGGGAGGAGGTGTGGCCT